AAACATCCCTCATCTCTTCAATAATGCCCTTTCATCTGCTCTCTACATCAGACCAGAGCAATCCAGCACAGAGACACATCTTGGGAGTAGAATTTTCAATTTTCAATTTTGGGGTGAACTGTTCCTTTTAAGTTAGCGCCATCAAATCTTTTAAACAAGATGAAGCAAGCCTATAGCCTATAGATTTAGCTTTTTTGAACTGAATTATGTCTGTGAAATAATCTGCATTTCTATCTTTTTGACAGACGGAAATAGCAAAAAAGGTCTACATGCATTTCTGCTAATTTTTCGGCCATTCTAAGAGCGACGCTGCTGTGAAATTCTAAAAAAAAAATAGACAGGAATAGACCAGAAAAAAGAGACAGAAGCCTGCTGAGAGTCAACATTCCCATTTAGCATTAAACACACTCCAGTGTGTGGGTATAGAGGACAGCCATATGCTGGAAAACACACACACGCACACTAACCAGCCCCCCGAGGATCTGTGTGCCCTTCAGGGGAACGGCGGATGGGAGAATTAGGATGGCAGGAGAAGACACTTTTGATCAAATTGGTGAAATATCTACATTGTAAAAAACCGAAGTTGCAAATAATACATATAATAATATTACTGGAATATGTTTTGCATTCTTTCTACTTCAACATTTCACCTTTAATTCAATGTGTTACTTGCCATTTCCTTGTAACTACTTGTGAAATGTATGAGCAATTTCAATTTTTAAAAATTGTTTCAATGTTGTCACAATATAACGTAATGAAAAAATGATGAATAAAGCATATAAACAATTACTTTTAATTTTTGCCCGCATATTTTCTGCAGTATTTATTAGTAAAATATCAATATATATACACAACTTGTCTATACAACCGCTGTATAGTTTACAAATAAGCTTTAGAGACAAATAAATGTGCACAAATCATTTGTTGCAAGCAACGCAATTCATAAATCAGTTTTATTTTATATATGCATAAAAAGGTGTGTATTTCAGAAGCTGTCAATTTTGTTTGTGTTTAAAAACACTTGAGTGTTGATTGAGATCCCGTGGTTCCTAGGGGGCGCAAACAGACTGTCATTTGATTTGATGATGATGCAAACAATTGAAACAGACAAACACATCTGATCTGTGATCAGCAGTCAACATGGAATTGTGCTAAATTTAGTCATTTAAATATTGTCAATCAGGACATTCACAGCCAGTTAAGAGCTCTCTGCACTGGGTTCAGTTACAAGTATTTCTGTGAAGCGCAAGATGATTGATGTTTAGACTATAAAAGAACGCTGAAAAAACAGACTTGGGCGATTTTCATGACCAACACATGGACCAGCATGAATTTAATGGCAGTGTAATGATTTTGATCATTGTAGAGTAAATCATCGCTTCTAGAAGTTTACTTAAACATCAGCTAATAACATCGGTAATCCGTCAAAATCAAATCATCAGATTGTGTCAAAAGAGAGAAGATTAGACTTAGAATTTTTACTTGCACTCTCAAAAAAAAAAAAAGTTCAATAGCTGTCACTGGGACGGCACCCTTTCAAAAGCTTTAAAAACTAAAGAATGCATTTTGTTACCTTAAAGGTACATATTTGTACCTAAAGTGTGCATATTAGTATCTAAATGATACAGATTTATAACTTTTGAAAGGGTACTGCCCCAGTGACAAGTTTTGTACCTTTTTCTGAGAGTGCCGTTAAATAAAATCGATGAAAAAAAAATCCCACAGACGCACACTAAAGAATGCACTTTTTACGTGGACCAATAAGAAACCATCTAGCAGCCACCCAGAACACCCTAGCAACACCCTGCCAACCAGGATGCTCTCGCAACCACTTGGCAAAAACCTAACAAACACTTAAAACACAGGAGTTTTGCACAGGAACGCACCACTCATATTTTCTCTGAATTACTCTTATAGAAAAGATTGCAAACATTGTACACCTTTAAAGTCTTCATATTGGAATTTCTTACATTTCTCAGACAAAACGGCAATGTTTTATACCGGTTAACTACTTTCACTCACACACAGTGGATCGTTAATTCATTAAAACACAATTCCTGCACACATTAAGAAAGGTTTAGCATCTTAACCGTGTTTACTAGGTCCAGATACAATGCTTTAATGAGCTTCGAAGAGCTAAAAAGCATGAAACACCAGCTCTGCAGCATGCATGTCAGTGCTACAGGCTATGAATGAAACTAAACATTTAGTGAGAAGCATTTACCTTTATACGTCTATTTACTAAACCCTGTCAAACCAGCCTGCATGCTGATATAAATCGACATTACTAGGGATATGCAGACTAAAACGGCACCCTGGGAAATTACTGACAACCAGTCGTGGATAACTGCATTAAGTGAGCGCATTTGTCTCTTTCTGAACAACCAGCAGCCAGGGACCCCAGAATAAAGAGGGTGTGGAGAGCTTCATGTAAGGGTGAGACCCTCACACACCTCACAGAGGTGTTAATGGCTAAAACACAGACAAATCGACCTCTACAGCTGTACTATTCAAAAACAAAAGCATAGCAATAAATACTAAGGTTTTAAGTAGCACTTTACCATGTCATCATTCATTTAGCAACAGGAACAAAAACAATAATGCATAAATATAAGAAGCTGTGCAAGGTAATTATGTATTTAGAATGATACACATATTTTATTACGATTTATTTTGTACAAATGCATGCTCGTACAACCAAAAACTCGAGGAATTATGTCAATTAAATCATTAATCCAACAAAATGCATACAATTCTGAAATTCAGCCAGAAAGCTCATCGTCCATTCCAAACACGTCGTATTATTATTATTATTATTATCATCGAAAACAGCGATTTGTCAGACGGTCAAGATGAGTGCGCGTTAAACACGGACAAATATTCTAATTAAACGTCATTTGTGTGTGTTTTAATTACACAGGCACATAAACACGGTACAAAAGAATGAGCGTGTTGAAAATAATCGCGTTTAATCACATTAAGAGCTTGTAGCGCCGCTGCGGTCGTGTTTGAGGTGTTATTCCAGCGCTGTTGTCGCGTGTATTTGACGGGAAGCGGTGAATAATCTTACCGGTTGGTCGTGTGGATGTAGACGAGGCTGGCTGAAGCGCTTCTGCGGCGGTCTGCGGGGTTTTTCTCGGAGGCTCGGGAGCTGTCCTCAGCTCGCGGTGCTGAACGCTCTCGGTACTGGACAGCGCAGCGGCAGCAGCGCGAGAGCCAAGAACGAGACGATTCGAGCCGAACCGCATCAGACGCAGCGCCCTCCAGCGCTCAGGAGGAGCAACCGCGGCGTGCCGCAGTACTGACTCGCATCAAAACAATTCATCACATTAAAGGGGTCATATGATGCGATTTCAATTTTTCCTTTCTCTTTGGAGTGTTACAAGCTCTTGGTGCATAAAGAAGATCTGTAAAGTTGCAAAGACTAAAGTCTCAAATCCAAAGAGATATTCTTTATAAAAGTTCAGAGTCAGCCACGCCTACCTAAAACGGCTCGTTCTAACACGCCCCCACATGTCTACGTCACTATGTGGGAAGATTTGCATAACGCCACCCAAATGTTCACACAAAGAAAGAAGGCGTAACTTTTATTCTCGCTGTAGTATTGTTGTTGCCGCCGCCATGTCGTGAAGACGCTGTGTGATTCGTTGTGAAAGCGAAACTACTTTGTTTGGTCTTCCAAAAGAGGACGATATCGCTTCGTCATGCCTAGAGCTGATCCGTGCTGGTCGCTGAGGAAATACTACAACTTCGCACTGTGGATCACCGGATCGGCTTTCACCGTGAACGAAGCGGAGTCCAGTCCGGGGTCGTCACATGTGGTTGCCGCAGGCATCACAGTATGGTGAGGGGCTTAACATTTCCGTCTCACGCTTGAGGTATTCGGCCAATCACAACGCTCTAGATAGCTGGCCAATCAGAGCACACCTCGCTTTTCAGACCGATAAGCTTTGTAAAAATCGACGCGTTTCAGAAAGGCGGGGCATAGAGGAGAAACAATAATGTACAGTATGTGGAAAATAATGTGTTTTTTTAACCTTAAACCGCATAAACACATTTCATTACACCAAATACACAAAATAATGTTCTTTTTAGCAGCATCATATGACCACTTTAAAAAAAACACAAAAAAAACAGCCAAATTAAGAACTAATAATTACATCAATTCATAAAGCAGAAATGTAAAGATATTTATAACATGTGATGGAAAGACAAGTATAAAAGCATGAATTCACTAGCGACGCCTGGTGATGCAGTTTTACCACAGTAACATTTCTGTTATATAAACATTTTGAAAATAAATTATAATATATAAAATGGTTATTTTTATCAGTGTTGAAAAAAGTTTGCTGCTTAATATTTTGTTATTATTTGCTTAATATTTATCATTTTTTTAGGTTTCTTCATCGTAGAATAAGTTATTTTATTATTTATCCATTTATTTAAATATTATTTAACCTAGACTTTTGAACGGTATTATTTCCATGATAAATATGTTTTTAACATTTACAAAAAATTTAAATAAAATAAAAAGTTTGCTGCTTAATATTTTGTTAATATTTGCTTAACATTTATAAAACTTTTTAGGTTTCTTTGATACATTTTATTATTTATCCATTTATTTAAATATTATTTAACCTAGACTTTTGAACAGTATTATATCCACGATAAGTGTTTTTAACATCTACAAAAAAAAAAAAGGCAGAAAATCAGCATATTAGAATTAGTTCTGGTGGATCATGTGACACTCTATCTATCAGGTTTGACATCAGAAATAAATTATGTTTTAAAATAAATCCATATAGAAAAGTTATTTTTAAATTGCAATAATATTTTTCACAATATTCTAAACATGAATGCATGCATTTAGTATTGGCTTGGTATTTTTCTTTGTAACAGAACTGTAATGCATGAGGAATGCAGTTTTTCTAATCATTTAAAACTTGAAAAAACGAAATGAAATCATTTACTTGTCTGCACCTGATTCTGTAGAAACCCTCCAAATTGTCATTTCTTGGGTTTAAAAAAAAATCACAGATAATTTACTAGATAATAGTTAATTACCTAATAGTCTGGCAAAAAACATGGGATTTGTGCCTCGAATGCTTTACAGAAAGTTACAGGACACTACAGGATACCATCACTAACACAAACTCACTTAAGAAAAATATCTTTATATATATTTATTCCTTAGAGGAACTGTTGAAAAGAGCAGCCGAACAGTCCAAAGCTGAAATTACATGTGGAAACGTGAACAAGTCACAGAACGTTATAGATAATGTCCCACAGTATCACGTTCACATTCACTGATATTTTTATGAGAATTACAAAGTAACATGAACAGAAGAAACGTTGCTGTGTCTTCATCAGTAAGGCATTGAAAAATGCATTTTATATATTAGTTGCACTGAACTGAATCTGATATACTGAACCCAGTTTTAGTCTGGCTCACATCAATTCCACTTTCTTCTCCGCATCAATTCTGATAATTATAAATAATAAAAACTAAACCATAGCTGTGGTCACTTTACCATCCATAAGCACTTGCGCATTTGTGGGAAAGAGCATCATTGGCTGCATTTGTGAGAGAGTAAAATGTCATTGGTCGTTGCTGGGGGACGAGTGTTCTGATTGGATGTGCATGTGGGTCGTGTGATTGGCTGTGGTTTTGAGAGCGTGTGCTGTCATTGGCTGTAGCTGTGGGATGAATGTCCGTGAGTGACGGCTTGGACGGCCTGTTCAGGAACCAGACTGGGGTCTGAGAGGATTGATGTGGAGGGGCAGAGCAGACGGAGGGAACTCAAAACAGCTGGAGAGAAACACAGAGACAAGACATGGCAGAAGTATTACAATAAAACTGATATTACCTGATAGATCCGACTCGATTTCTGATGGATAAGCAGGTTCTGTTGTTGTACAATGCAGTTGCTTGGCAACTAATTTTACCTAGTGGGAGAATTATTTATTCTAAATCATCCAAAAACATTTTTTTGAAATAAATTAGTATTTTTATTCAGCAAGGATGCATTAAATTGATCAAAAGTTACGGTAAAGTCATCTCTAATGTTACAAAAGATTTCAATGCTGTTCTTTTGAACTTTCGATTCATCAAAGAATCCTGAAAAACAAAAAGTGTCACGGCTTCCACAAAAATATTCAGCAGCACAACTGTTTTCAACATTGATAATACTCGAGAAATGTTTACTGAGCAGCAAATCGACAAAGTAGAACGATTTCTAATTCATAAAGACACACACATACAGCATATACTTTGAAAATATTTACATTTATTTACATGTAAATATTGATATACATATAAATGATATCATATATAAATATTTAATATATAAACGTAACATATTTTTCTTAAATATATACATGCATGTGTGTGTATTTATATGTACTTAATAAATATACACAGTACACACATATTATGAACAAAAACTTATTTTGGATGTGATTAACCGTTTGACAGCACTAATAATGGATTATGATAATAATGCATAAATATTTTATATATAATAATTTTATATATTTTTTATTCCATTTTTATATTTATTTATATAATATCAAAGTATAATTAATGCAATAATAATGTAAGTTGATCATGATTTTGTTTTAACACCCCTTAACTGTGGTAAAATCATGGTGAAATTGTCCTCTCAAGGCTTACTGCTTTTGTAAAAGGCAATAAAATAAAAATAAAAATACTAATAAACCCACACACATAAACAAGAAGGCAGGGAGTGATAAATATGCCAGGACGAAGAAAAGCGGTTTGTTCATTAAGGCAGTAAATGATTCTAAGGTCTGAGGGAACTAAGTGTGAAAGTGAAACGGGAAGTAGTGTTTTCAAGAGAGGTGCTGGTCACTCACTGGGTCTGAGCGCAGGCAGAGAGCAGTGCTGGTCCAGCCAGGACAGAGTGCTGCGACACAGATCATCAACACTGGCTGTGGACACCATCCCATTAAACGACTCGAACAGCGGCTCCATGAGGATGCTGAACTAACAGAACGGCTGCAGTTCAGGAAAATATGAAGACTTGCATCTTATCAGAATTAGACCTGCTACCAGCACAAGCACAGATGTTATGGATGCTGATATCCACAAAAACATTTTCATGGACTGATTGATTTTGAAGCTATTTTACTTCCATAACATTTGTGACCCTGGAGCACAAAAGCAGTCTTAAGACGCTGGGGTGTATATTTGTAGCAATAGCCAAAAATACATTGTATGGGTCAAAATTATTGATTTTTCTTTTATGGCAAAAATCATTAGGATATTAAGTAAAGATCATGTTCCATGAAGATATTTTGTACATTTCCTATTGTAAATATATTAAAACTTCATTTTTGATTAGTAATATGCATTGCTAAGAACTTCATTTGGACAACTTTAAAGGCGATTTTCTCAAAATTTAGATTTTTTTTTGCACCCTCAGATTCCAGATTTTGGCCAAATATTATCCTATCCTAACAAACCATACATCAATGGAAAGCTTATTTATTCAGCTTCCAGATGGTGTATAAATCTCAATTTTCGAAAAATTGACCCTTATGACTGGTTTTGTGGTCCAGGGTCACATATCTTCTTTCAGACTAGTAGAAAGAAAACCTCCAAAATATACATTTAAATGTGTTTACTTTATTACACATCATCTATTTGCATCCAAAACTTTTTGGTTTTGCACCAAACTTCACAGGGGTATTTGTTCATAAATATTATAAAACAGATAGTTCCGGTCCTTGATTCTGATTGGCTGAGCCACTTTCGAAGCTTTTGTAAATTACTCTACAAACAAACCTTACTACGTATATTGAATAACCGTTTTATAAAAGCAGTAAGCCCCGTGAAGCCGTGGTTTACAGTGAATTTATAACAGCTAAGGGACATTGTTAGGCACGACGCAAAGTGGAGTCGCGATTGCGGCTTCTTGGGCCTTATTGCTTTAATTAACACTGATTTTCTACTAAATGTAATTCTTAAAAACGTGAACATTTATTTCTTCTGGCTGTTGACAGTATTTTGTGATTTATGGAGTGATAAAAAATATCCAAAATCCCTTCCGTAAAAACCTGAAAATACTTTTGAACCTGTCCTATGTTTAGATTTCTCTTCTGGAAATATATGCAACTTAGTGCGTATTGAATTAAATAATGCATCATTTGAACATTTAAACTTAACATTTCAAAAACTTTTTTAATCAACTGTAGGAAGCATGGTGATATCTGTTTTACCTAGTTCACCTGGGTTGCTTAACCAACAAGACTTTCTCTGTCGGTCAGCAATTTTGTTTCAGATTTGATTGGATACGATCCAGAACTTCCAGTTCTGCAGCGTCTGAGCTCTCACATACTCTCTGAACTTCTCCCTCATGTGGTTGAAGCGCTGTCGTGTTATTGGGACGCCTGTAGCCGGAAGCTGCTGCTGACACGCACTACGTACATACACACAGTTCAGACACAATCACAATCACACTCACGCACTCATGCAGATGTCTCTCATAACTATGTCCAGCACATTGTAAAACAGCTCAAACGCACTCACTTGATGGCAGAGTTGAGCGTGAGGATCTCGTCTCGGAGTCTCTGGGCCTCCTCGTGGAGCTGAGCTCTCTCCTGCTGCATCTTACTGATGTACTCCACCGTCTTCTGCAGCGTCGTGGCCTTACTGATCTGAGACCATGAGAGTACAGAGGTGGAGGAAGCATGATTGAAGTTATTAAATAAGATGAGAAATCTCCCAGACATTTTCTTCTGAAGTAACTTAGAAGCTAAAATCCACAGCTATTTTTCTCTTGTGAAAAAGAAGTACTCATTCATGTTATTTACAATGAAATGAAAATGTATTATAGTTTAAATGTATATTAAATGCAATTAGTTGAACTTAAGAGTGCTTTACATCTTCAAATGTAATTTCATAATTACTACCACCGTCTTTGAAATATGGTACTGCCAAATGTACTGACATGTATTGTAAACTAAAATATACTTTAATGTAATTTCTATTCAAACGTGTCATTACAGTATTTACTAATATTTTAAATTAGCTTTTATTTTTATATTTTAATTTTTAAGTTAAGTATTTTTTGTCATTTTTATTAGTTTTTTTAATATTTATATTAAGCTTTTATTTATTTTTATTTCTGTTTTAGAATTTTAGTAATTCAACCATATTAACTATAAAAGTAATATCCAAGAGTACACTACAGATGAAATTATAATCAAGTGCTTTACATGTGCTTTAGTATGTTAATCAACACAAGCATGACGATAGATTATTAAAACAATGATTTAAAATGTACTTAAAGAGAGACACTTTCATGACTACACTTAAGTGGCCTTTTATTTCATTAATTATTATATAATCTGCAAGCACATTTAAAAAAAAAAACTAAAAAACATCCTTTTAAGATTTGAAGTACACTACAAGTGTACATTCAATGCAATGAAGCACACTTCTTTTTCTCAAGTGCTGACTGATAAAGTCACTAAAACGAGTGTTACCTTTATACTCGGCTGTGAGCTGAGAGTCGTCACCAGACTGTGTAACGTGTCAAAGCCAAGCTTGATGTTGAACCGTCTCTTCTGCTCGGCTGAAATGTGCGTGATCCATCGTGTGTCTGTCTGTAAGACAAGACAATATGTGACCCAGGACCACAAAACCAGTCATAAGGGTCAATTTTTTGAAATTGAGATTTATACGTCATCTGAAAGCTGAATAAATAAGCTTCCATTGATTTGTTAGGATAGGACAATATTTGGCTGAGACACAACTATTTGAAAATCTGGAATCTGAGGGTGCAAAAAAATCTAAATATTGAGAAAATTGCCTTTAAAGTTGTCCAAATGAAGTTCTTAATGCATATTACTAATCAAAAATTAAGTTTTGATATATTTACAGTAGGAAATTTACTAAATATCTTTATGGAACATGATCTTTACTTAATATCCTAATGATTTTTGGCATAAAAGATCCATACAATGTATTGTTGGCTATTGCTACAAATATACCCCAGTGACTTAAGACTGGTTTTGTGCTCCAGGGTCACATATGAGAAACACAACACACGCTGAGCTGTTATGAAATAATCGTGTACGGATTTGTGTTTTTACTCTTGTTGACTCCATCTTGGCTTGTTCAGGTAACGACTCTGGGCTTTTCTCTGCTGGATTCATAGGTGACGTCTGTCCCATGTTTCCTAAAAAAACAAGAGTAAAAAAACATTTCAAAACAAGACATTTCATTACTATTGGAATAAAACACTTGAGTGCTTGAGTTATTATGTGTGACATAATATAGTTGTAAATGTAAAAATACTGTAAATTAGGGCTGCCCTCGACTAAGGATTTTTCTGGTCGACTAGTAGTCGTTCACTTTAAGCATTAGTCAACTAATCGCACGTTTATTAAAAAACCTTTAAATAATTATAATGAGCCTTTAAATGCCTCCATAGCCTAATAAGCACTCAAGTGCATGCATAAAGCTTGCCACAGCGCACTGGCAGAAGTAATGATTATGAATGTGTCAGGGAAAAACAGTAAGGAGACTGCATTAACATTTTAATAATTTGATAAACTAGTGCGCTTTCTTTGTTTTCGGTTTAAGAGATGAAGTCGTAGACACTGACACTGACTAGTCATCTCTGCAGTAGTGATGTGCCTGTGTGCATGTTTCATACGGATTACATAATCTGGGAATATTTGTCTTCCATTTGAATTGGTTCATTTGAAAGTAGACATTTCACTCTCTATAGATACATTTTAATGCCTGTAAGGCAAAGATATACACGGAGTTTCACGCTCAAGTTCACAGAGACCGAGACGGCAGAAAGCACATCATGTTTGCTTTTATTATTTTACAAAAGCGTGTTTTGTTGTTATTGTGAGTGCACAGTACACACAAATAAACGTAGAGTCTTTACAGATTCGAAAGATGTATTACTCTTATCTGTATGACCAAAAATTTCATAGTATTTTAAGAGCAATTGAGCGCACCTGTGTTGTGCCGAATTCTGCACCCCTGCCAGATTATGCACCCCCTCGTTGATGTCGCTACCTGATTGCCTAATCCCAACCCCACCCCTAGTCCTAACCCCTCCCCCACACCTACTCCTAAACCTACCAATACTAGGGGGTGCATAATCTGGCAGGGTGCAAATTTCGGCACTACACCGGCTCCTCCATCTGTCCTGCAGCGAGCGCGCTACTGTTCAGCTTCTACACTCCACACACACACTTGAACAGCGCACATTTCTCTAGGTTAACATTAGATTGAGCGGACATGTAAATAATACTTACATATTGCAGATAAGCCGTATTTGAGGTCGATGAATGATGGGCGAGTGTTTGGATGTCCTGCCCGATGTACTGTATTACAATAGACCAGCCGTTAACGGTCTGTTAGTCATGGACTGTGTGGCTTCGCCTGTGGATTTTTTTTATTAATTTTTTTTTTCTGCGACTAAGCTACTAATAAAATTTTAAGCCTCTTCTGGTCGACTAACGATTAGTTGACTGTTAGGGGGCAGCCCTACTGTAAATATAAATAGCTAACAATGTCCTCACCCTCAGGCCATTCAAGATGTATGTGAGGTTGTTTCTTCATCAGATTTGGAGAAATGTAGCATTGCATCACTTGCTCAACAATGGATGCTCTGCAGTGAATGGGTGCCGTCAGAATGAGAGTCCAAACAGCTGATAAAAACATCACAATAATCCACACCACTCCAGTCCATCAGTTAACATCTGGAGAAGACAAAGGATGCGTGTTTGTAAGAAACAAATCCATCAATAATGGCCCGTCCACACGGAGATGCGTTTAGCTGTATAGGTAAAAAATTTTGTATCGTATCAGCGTTTTGTCCAGACGGATCTGGCGTTTTGGGAGCGTGAAACTGCTATTTAATAATCCGTATATTTTGTGAAAATGCCCCTAGTCAGACACCGCTATGTCACGTAACAGCAATAACAACATGAACAAACACTGAACGATTGTATTTTTATTAACTAAAATTAACACAGATTAATAAATAGTGTAATAAGTGTATTGTTCCATTTTCGTTTTCTTGTTGTTGTGTTAGGTTTGTATACAGCATGCAAGTTTTAGCATGCTACAAGTCTTCTTCTCCATTTTTAGTGCATCTCTGTGGCAGAATTACAGCGCCACATGCTGGTCTGGCATGTATACTACATCGTTTTGAGTCGGTTTTGTGTTTTCGTGTGTATGCAGATATTTCTTGAGACGAGGAAAAAAAAAAAGATCGGAAAGGGATGGCTTTGTGTGGAAGTGGCCTAAAACATTTTTAACTTCAAACCGTTGCTTCTAGCCAAAATATGAGTCGATAATCCATAATAATAATTTAGCTGGAAGCAACAGTTTGAAGTTAAAAACACCTTAATGAAGGATTTGTTTTTTTACAAGCACGCATCTTTTGTCTTCTCCAGATGTTAACTGATGGACTGGAGTGGTGTGGATTACTTGTGGATTATTGTGATGTTATTATCAGCTGTTTGGACTCTCATTCTGACGGCACCCATTCACTGCAGAGCATCCATTGGTGAGCAAGTGACGGAATGCTACATTTCTCCAAACCTGTCGTGATGAAGAAACAAACTCATCTACATCTTAGATGGCCTGAGAGCGAGTAAATCTTTAGCAAACTATAATTTTTGGGTAAACTATTCCTATAAAACCACACAGAACAACACACCTGTTAAACTGGTCCTGTCACTTGTGTGCCTTTGTACCGGGGAGAGTTTTTCTGTTTTGGGGATGAGAAGTGGTGTTTGTTGCGTGAGCAGAGAGGAAATGGTGCTTCCCTGCGAGGTGCCGCTGTGGCCATGGGTTGACATGGGTGCCTGACAGTGTAACGGTGACAGTGGTGGGATTGCTGTGGAGGCCCAGGGGGGATTGTGGGAAATATGCGATCCTCCTCTACTGCTGCTCTTTGGCTGTCATGGAGAATAATTAAGATTTTTTTGATGTTTGAAGTTCTGCTCACCAAAGCTGCATTTATTTTATTAAGTTTTGGTTTTATTTCATTTGAGTTATTTCAGTACTTCAACATACAAAATGGAAATGAAATAATATATATATTGAATGTATTTATATATATGTACATGTATGTGTGTGTGGCTGTACATACACATATGTAGTTGTTTTTTGATGTTTGGCTTAGTGTTATGTTAGAATCATTATTATACTCATACCTTTTGTTCTTTTAATATTTTGAATTGTTTTTAGCTTTATTTTTTGTTTTAATTTAAATGTTTAGTTTTGAAATGTTGTTGTATGCATTTGTCATTTTTATTTAATTTCTTTTATTTTCTTAAATGTGTGTATATATAGTATTTATAGAGTTTTAGCTTTTAGTTTTAATTACTTTTTCTTATTTGTAAGTCGCTTTGGATAAAAACGTCTGCTAAATTACTAAAAGTAAAGTAAAGTAAGTAAAGTAAATTAGAAATAATTCATACTTTGTATAAATGTTGCATTTATGTTGTATTTATTTCATTTTTTATCATTACAATTATTTTTCATGCAAACAACAGGTAACATTTTAGAAAGGAACTGATAATAACAATGTGTATCACAAAAGGTAAAATAAAAAATGACTAAAATGTAAATAAAGACACTCTACTGTAATATTATTTTGATCATATTTATTTTAATTTCAGTATTTATTTTACAATTAATAATTAAAAAATAATTGTATATTTTATCACAAATAAACAAAATAACTACATACAAAAATAACAATCTTAATTCAAATAAATAAGTAAATAAATAGCACTAGGTTAAAAAAACGTATATTTAAATGAACCTAAAATATACAACAATAAAATGATAATAACTCGCTTAAAGAGATTACGGACTACAAATCCCATGAGCGCTGAAGAAACATCCGGTTATGTGTGACGTAAGCGGAAGGATAAAAGCCGCTGATTGGCGAGCCCAGCAGCTGGTGTTATTTTCGTGTTTTCAGTGCTAGAGTTCTACTCGAAGTGTTTGTAGTTTAGTTAAATCATGGACGCGGTACAGAGACACAGATCCATGTACAAAGGCACGACTCCACCGTGGAAAGAAACATACCGGAAGGTAAATAATGTCGTGTTCGCTCGCGAAAGCTGTCAACAACAGTCCAAGTCATGTTATAAATGAAGGAAATTCATTGTATTTTACAGGACAATTACGATTAGAGTTTGTTTTGAGACATGTTAGTAATGAAACGCATCCTGTTGCTCCTTTATTCCATCACAGTAATGAGAATTAGTGGTGATTTCTTCCTTATGGCAATAAATAATGAATATATTTACCAGTCAGAACATGGCAAAGCTTGTCTAACCAACCAAAACACTTCCCTAGACCACAAAGTACTGATATGGATACATTTGTGTTACTAAAGATAAAACATTTAAAATAACTATGTGACCCTGGACCACAAAAGTCATTAGAGGCCATTTTTTTAAATTAAATATTTTATATTCAGATATTCATCTGAAAGTTGAATAAATAAGCTTTCCATTGATGTATGGTTTGTTAGGATAGGACAATATTTGGTTGAGATACAACTATTTGAAAATCTGGAATCTGAGGGTGCAAAACAATCTAAATATTGAGAAAATCGCCTTTAAAATTGTCCAAATGAAGTTCTTAGCAATGCATATTACTAATAAAAAATAAAGCTTTGATATATTTACAGTAGGACATTTACAAAATATCTTAATGGAACATGATCTTTACTTAATATCCTAATGATTTTTGGCATAAAAGAAAAATCAATCATTTTGAGCCATACAATGTATTGTTGGCTATTGCTACAAATATACCCCAGCGACTTAAGACTGCTTTTGTGCTCCAGGGTCACAAATATGAAATAAACACACTAAAATTGAGAAATATTATGTGGAATGTAAATATCATCTTGCATGGTTGATCTAAATTTATTTTAACTTGTATATTTATTTTAAAATGAATATGTCTTCCATGCAAAGTACAAGTTTTGGAAACAAGGATGACATTTTATCACGTCATTATAATGCATTTTTAATTGAACTGCATGAAAGGCTTTGAGACGCCGGCGTGATGATATAACGGTGTGTTGTGTGTCTCCAGCGCTGTGTGGAGCGCTTGAAGAACAGCCGGTCGAGGTTACTGGAGAAGTTCAGACAGATGGGAGAGGATTCGGGAGGATCGAAGCACTCGCTGCTCGTGCAGGAGGTGATGGAGGAGGAATGGAGCGCATTACAGTCGTCCAATCAGAGTCTCCCGTCGCTCTGGAGTGGAAACGGCATCAGAGATGTGTGTATTAAGCACTGCTTTTGACATGAGAGCGTCATGTTGTTCCAAACCTTTCTGTTTTCTATACGATAAAAGCAGTAAGAATGTAAAAGTATCAGAAAAGCATTATTCTTATTAATTTTAACAGTATGTACACACGTATTTCCATGTAACAGAAATAACAAGAACAAAACAAACACATCTCAACACCTTACATTAATATTCAGTGCCACTTCTCGTGTGTGTGTGTGTGTGTGTGTGTGTGTGTGTGTGTGTGTGTGTGTGTGTGTGTGTGTGTGTGTGTGTGTGT